TGGAACCCGAATTTGGCCAAAAACAACTAATTTGATGAGGTTTGGCCAGGGCCAGGTGGCCAAAAACAACTAATGATATTAAAGTTTAAATATACATATGATAGAGAGGTTTAGGGTCAGGGTGGTTGCGCCCATCAGGGAGTCCGAGAATTGCTCAACTCCAACTCCTTCAGCAGGTTCCGGTCGCCCCCCGAAAGCCGTCGTCACACAGCACCCCAAACCCCAAACCTTGCAGGAGTACTGTAGCGGCCTTAGTAATTAGGATAGGGCTTTGGGGTCCAGTATACCATAATTATAACGAGGACCCCCAAAAATAATACAGGTAACTATTTGGGCCCTATATTACATGCTTGTATCCCTTCAGTCGAGAAAGCCTTCTTTGTAGGGGCTTTGCCTGAGGCTTGTCTGCCCCATAGCGTGGCGGGAACATGGAAGGCACCATAACCCAGACTCCAACAGTTTAAGTAAGGCTACCCGGTCGACCCTGCCAGCGTTACCTGACGTGCCGGACTCTGAACTCCGAACCCTTAGCGCTGAAACGTTTCGTTCTTGCACGCCTTGCGCCGTCTAAATTCCACTACGGGCTCACTGTCTAAACCCGCAAAGTCCCCCAAACTTCGCCCTAAAAAAGCTCCACGGATTCCCAAAGCCCCCGAACCCCTCCACCCTGAAGCTCAAGCCCCTCAATCAATGGGAGCCTGCGCCCTGAATCTAAAACAAAACGTGCACACCAGGACATGGACGCCGCACCGACAGCCACTCCCACCAAAACATAACCCTTCTAAACCCCTAAACCCTTTTTGCATCGTAAGCCCTCAACCCTGAAACCATGAACGTTAAACCTTCTGAGAGTATGAGGTGGCGACGGCCAGCCGATTCTGCAGCTTGTGCTCCAGTTTCTCGACATGCCGGCCTTGCAAGGAGCACAGTTCACGCTTCACGCTTCAAACATCGCGGGTTTGGGGCGTCAGGCTTCAGGGTTTCAGCATTTGCGGCTTAGGGTCCATGGGGTTTGGGGCTCCGGGTTAGGGTTTCAGGAAGCCGAGGATCTGAACGCCTTGAATGGACAGCCTTCAGCTGCCGTAGATGTCCACCATCTCTGACCTTTGTAACACGATATGAAAACATACACCGGAATCGACCCAAAACTTGCGAGCCTATGCCAAAGTGAGTCCGAAGCCGCACTCTACAAAACCCCAAAGCCCGAAACATCGCAAGAACAAACCATCAAACCCGAACAGGCAAAGCCTGCGGCAGCTTGGCGAAGCTTGGTCATCACAGCACCATCTGATGCCCAACATCTAAGCCCGCAAGTTCTAACACACTCAGAAAACCCTCGAATCCCCAAAGCCAAGCACAAACTTGAAGCCACACAAACACAACTCAAACCCTAGATCTGAAAATCAAACAAAAAGCCTCCGAAGCCAGGTACAAACAGTGCGCTAAAGACATCAAAACCTGAAAACTGGTTTGAGGTCCACCAAGCCCCTGTGGGATCCGTGCCGGCGTCCAGCCAGGAGTTCCATCGCTCTTGGGCTCCTGGCATTGCCTGTGTGTATGGTGCAGGTTTTAGCTTGTAAAGGCTTTAAGACTCCTTCCACTGTGAATGTGTTGAAAAGCTTTTTCACATGATTACAGAGGTTTATTGGCTTTGAGAAGTGGGGTTTATGGCTTAAGGCCCTACAACTGCTTGCTAGGATTTTTATGTGCTTTCTTTCACTGTTTAACGATTTATTCGCCCCGACTGAGGGATTGGCGGGGTTCCTCGAAGGCTTCCTTTAACGGTTCTGCAGAGCTTTCAGGGTTTTAGCTTCCGGGGTCAGGGCTTCAGCGTGTCAGGGAGAACGGTTTCGGGTTTTTTGTTGTCTCCCACATGTGCAAGAGGGGTACAAGGGCAGATTGTCACACACGGCCTGATTGTGTTTGTTTTGTAACTGGCTTGCAAACTCACGGCATGGTTGGGTTGATTCGGAAACTCAAAAAGGGAAGCAGTGAAGCTCATCAAAAGCAGTTTCACTCCACATCAACGCTGAAACTCGGATTGCACGGGGAGGGACTTAGAGTGCAGGGGCGCAGGGTTTCTGGATGTTCCTGGTTGAAGATGAAAGTGTAAATATGAGTTCGGATAATCTCCTTAATGTGACTGAAGGGGTTTCCAAGGAAGCTTGATTTTCAATAAAATCTTCGCGTTCGGTTTGATATTTGGGATTGGCCTTGGAAGCTGCAGGTTCACGGTTTTGACTTGTGGTTCCGGCTTTGCAAAAACGGTTCGGGCCGGTGGCTGGGTCTACCAATCCAAATCTATCCAAACGCGCTCCCTCTCCGGCCTCATCCAGGGTCTGCTTGACATACTTTGCCTCAGCGATTGCTTCGATCGTGTCGGAAGTTTTTGGTCCATGGACGTGAAGGGAATATTCGGGTGCCGAGGCTTCGAGGCTCGAAGGACCGCAAATTTCACAGGGCTTCGGGGTTGAGTGGATCCGGGGGTTCATAGACTGCAGCATGACCGAGCCATTGCGTCAGGCACGGGCGTCGTAGTACTGCAGCGTCCTCGGGAAGGCTGATACGACTTTCTGCTTCCGAAGGCTCATCACCAGGGCTTGCTGACGTGAGGCCTCAAACCCTCTCACGCGCCGGGGCGCCCATTGGCCTCAGTCTGAAATCCTGCGCGCAACATCTGTCCCTGGCGCATCCCGGTGCGGTCCTGATCTTGCTCCCCACCTCCTTGAGGGGTGCTTCACCTGTGCACAGCTCAAGTCTGGCGCAGAACTGAACACACTCTCTACAGCACCTTACATCAGTGCTTCCAAGCCCGAGCTCGCCACTTCATCCTGCACACAACAAAACCCCATGCCCCAAAAGTCATCCTTACAGTAAAGCCGGTAAAGGACCCTCAACCCCAAGAACCCGTCCGTCACGTCCTAACAAATCATCCTCGTCATCATTATCATCCTAACCACCGTGCCCCTTTTTGCCCCCAGAGATCCCGATGCATCACGCTCCATCTCCATCTCCTGGGCTCCCCGGCCCAAGCCCGAGGGCGATACCCGGGCCAAGTTCATGTTGCTCGGCCTCAGGTACCGGTAGGGCTTGTCTAAGGCCTCCCTAAACCCCGAAACCCTAAACCCTAAACCCTGCCTCATCTGAAAGATTTGCTGCCTTGGTGCCTTGAAGCTTCCCACATATGACTGGAGCACGTCCCTTTAGGGGTTTTTTCCCTTGGGGTTTCGGGTTTAAGGTATAGGGTTTCGGGTTTCGGGTTTAGGGTCCTATCCCGGCCTAATTTTCTTTTGAGCTGCGTAGCGAAACTTCTGGAGTCCGGCTGCGGGAGCTGGGCCTTCTACGCAGAATATGCTTGGCCTGTTTTTGGCATCAAAAGCCTAAACCCTAAACCCTGAACCCTAAACCCTCAACCCCAGAACCCGAAACCCTGAACCCTACACCCCAAAGCCTGCTAGTTCAACTTAGGTCCTGCGAAGTCTGTCCTGAGACTCTGAGAGCCATCAGTCTCAGCTTCAAGATCCGAGCCTCTTCTGCCCCGTGAACTTCGAGATCACCAGTTTAGGGATGTTTTTTTTGCCAGTTTAGGGATGTTTAGGGTTTAGGGTTTGGGGTTTAGGTTTTTTGTTGTCACCTCTTTTCCACCTCCCGGGTTTAGTTTGGTCGTCGAATGCCAAGTTTGGCTGAGGAAGTTCCACCATACCGTGCTGTGCTACCCACCCATCGACCAAGTAAATGACCCAGAGTTTTTTTAGGGTTTAGGGTTTAGGGTTTCGGGTCTCACTGCTGCTACTCACCATCGCCATCATTGCTATGGGGCCGGGGCCTCGCAAAAAAAACCCTCCCGGATGAGGTCCGGGCGTCAGGTCCTCAATGAGGCCCAGCAGCAGGCTTGCATCCTGCATTCCAAGCACTCCACTCACAAAGCTCCTGCTCTCCCCCTCTAAGGGTCTCGGCGGTGAGCGCAGGAAGTATTGCTCAGGATAGAAACAGGCTCGGGAGGATCCTCTTCTGAGGGCCCCTAGAGCTCAAGCACCGATTCCACGCGGCATGATTGCCTTTGCTATTTGGCTTTTGCTTCTGGCACTAGGGATCCGGTTGAAATGCCATCTCCCTCACCATGAAACGCAAGGCCTGGATCCTAACTCCTAAACCCTAAACCCTCCATGCCCAACGTGACTCCAAAGCCTAGGCCTGACGTCCGGATCCTAAACCCCACATCCTTATACGGGCCTTACAAGTAATAATTAGAAGAGGGTTTTGGGGCCCATTATACTATATTTACAATAAGGAACCCCCAAAATAATATGGGTACTGGTAATTATTTAGGCCCCTCTACGAAACCTGCAACACCCTGCAACCAAGTGCTGCAACCCTTTTTCACAAGGGACTCGACTGCTGCCCTTACTTCCCATGCCTCGCAACAAACCCTAAACCCTAAACCCTAAACCCTAAACCCTAAACCCTAAACCCTAAGCCCTGAACTCTGAGACTCTGAGCTTGCGGATGCCCCGTCCGGCTGCTCGATGAGCGAGTCGCCTGCAAGGGCGACTTCGAATTCATGGCCAGCCTTTAAAGGGTTTAGGGTTTAGGGTTCAGGGTTTAGGGTTTAGGGTTTAGGGTTTAGGGTTTAGGGTTTAGGGTTTAAGGTTTAAGGAGCTAAGTGCTTTACGAAAGAAGAGCAACAAGTGCTTGTTTTCCTCCTGTCATCAGCGCTTCGAGTCTGTTTACTGTAGTATTCCTTTGAGATGTATTTGAAGCGTAGTTTCATTGCTGCCGGGTGTACGCTTTTGGGCTTCAAAAACGGCAGCAAATTTGAAAAAGTTTAAAAAATTGGTTTCCGCTATGAAAGGGTTGCTCTGCAAGGCTACATTCTGGATTTTGGCGTCTAGGATTTTCTCTCGGCCTCGCTCAACATCCAGAGCACCAACAACTCGCGCAGCTTGCTGGAATAGAGGCACAATGACGCGTGATTGTCCCCCCCCCCCCCACACACCCCACGGTTTAGGGTTTAGGGTTTAGGGTTTAGGGTTTAGGGTTTAGGGTCACCCAAATCCCTGCATCCCTTCCTTACCTGCTTATTGCCAGCTGTACTTCATTAGGCAAACAGCACAGGCTTGAGCTCAGGGTTCAGGTTTCGGAGGCTATGGCTAGGGTTTAGGGCTTTAGGGTTTAGGGTTTAGGGTTTAGGGTTTAGGGTTTAGGGTTTAGGGTTTAGGGTTTAGGGTTTAGGGTTTAGGGTTTAGGGCTTAGGGTTTAGGGCTTGGGGCTGGGCTTGAGAGTCAGGGTTTCGCGCCGACTGCGAAACCCGGCTGATCCTGCCAGAAACAAAATGGGTCTAAGGCTTTGGGTTTAGGGTTTTAGGGTTCAGGGTTTAGGGTTAAGGGTTTAGGGTTCAGGGTTTAGGGTTTACGGTTTTGGGTGTTGCGTTTAGGGTTTTGGGTTTTGGGTGTAGGGTCCTGAAACCCAATCGGTGCGCCTGACAACAGCTTGTCCCTGGGCAGCCTTGTCATCACCTGTCCGGGTGCTGCTCAGCTGGGAAAGCACCCGGACAGAAGCACTAAACATATTATAGGGGAAAAAAATTTTTTCCCCCTATAATATGTTTAGTGGGGGGGGAATTCCTCACCCCATCCTACGCCCCATGCCCTCAACGCTCAACCCTCAATGTTTTTGGAACCAGGTGTGCCAAACCCCCAACTCAGTCCCACAGTCTCAACCGGCTAGCAACCTCTAAATATGAGTAGAATAGAATCTGTATGTAAGAGTATAGGAAGACCAACTGTTCGACCCTTGAATTAGTAAAACACGAAACCCCAAAGCCCAGCCAAACGAAAACGAAGAAATGTAATATGATACAGTATAAAAGAATACAACATGATATAATACAATGTACCACCGCAATGTCTGCACAGCCTCGGCCAGGTCCGACACTGTCCTGCTAAGCTTCACAGTTTGGGGGTGTTGGGGGCGGGCTCTCTGAGCTTAGGGCGGGAGGTTTTACATGGATTGAAGCTCTTGCTGCCTCGAACCCAAACACGAAGCCGGGCCTTCCAGCACAGAACCCAAGACTGAAGGAGGCCCAAAGAGCTAAAAACCGCGCGTCCCGTACGGATCTGCTTCTTGCTTCCAATTCCACTGCAGCTTCACCATGTCCTGCGAGGATGAGGTCGTGTCTGGAGCTACTGGGAGTCTGGGGTGTAGGGTTTACAGAGTTGACGGGGCTTCAGCACTGTGGAGCTTATGGGGCTTATCGGGCTTGTAGGGGTTGTGGGGCTCACAGGGCTTTTTGGGTTTAAGGGTTTACAGGATTGGGCTTATGGGGCTTATAGGGTTTAGGGCTTAGTCTAACTTAATCTTCAGGGTTTAGGGGATGAAGGGTTTAAAGGACGAAGATTTAAAATTCAGACGTTCAGGCCGGGTCACCCCGCAGAAAATTCCTGAAAGTGCTGGGAGGATGATGCAGGACCCTCCGGAACTTATGCTTCCACCCCGGGAACTCGTTGGCAGGCCTGGAGGCTCTTGTACAGGTCCATGTCCACACCTTGTGCCCTTAGGGCACCGAGGTAGGCAAAGAAGACATCCAGGATGGCCTGTCAAGGCCACATGGGACCTGATCCAACCCCGAGTAGTGATATAGGGGCCTTGAAAATTAGAATAGGGTTTTGTTGTATATTATACTGTATGTATAACAAGGAACCCTCCTCCCCCAAATAATGTAGGTAAATTATTAAGGCCCCTATATCTTAGAACCCTTACAGTAACCCTTATAGTATCCCTTTTAAGGAACTCTCTAAAGGGTCCCTATTCTAAGCCCTAAACCCTAAACCCTAAACCCAAAGCCCTAAACCCTAAACCCTAAACCCTAAACCCTAAACCCCTAAACCCTAAACCCTAAACCCCTGTATTACACGGCTGCCCTCAACTGCAACACGTCTCCGATAGGCCAACAGCAGGGCCTGAAGCTCTCGGCTCGTCAAGAAGGGCTCTGAATCTTGGTTTAGGGTTTAGGGTTTAGGGTTTAGCTTCTAGGGTTTAGGATTTAGGGTTTAGGTTTTAAGGTGTAGGGTTTAGGGTTTAGGGTTTGGGGTTTGGGGTTTCGGGTTTAGGGTTTAGGGTTAAGGGTTTAGGGTTTAAGGTTTAGGGTTGTAAACTTTGGACACACTGACATGCGAGAGTTGCTGAAAGCTAGACAGGGCTCGGCGTGGGGGTCTGAATCCCAAAACCACAGCCCCAACGTGCCCCAACCGAAACCTTCGACACCAGCAAAGCCCTGAAGCACCTCGGACTTGTTGAAGCCCAAAGGCGTGGTGTAGAAGACCTGGGCGAGCTGCACGTCTGGGATGCTGGATGGTGTACATGAACGTAGAAGGGTAAGATTCAGGGGGTCGTAGTAGGAAGACGGGAGGACATGAGATGGAGTGCTGTACTTGAGGTATTGAGCCTTTGAAGGCTTGTTGGCCCTAGGTCCCCTTTGGCCGCCTTTGGGAGTGTTGCCGGGTATGTTCCAGGATCGCGAATTATTAGCGATGGCTTCTGAATCCTTTCGCTGGCTTTAGCGACTTTAATTTTTGCACTCACAAGGTGCGAATACGTGCAAACAGTCAACACTGCAGTCCAACTACAGTCAACACTACGAAAACCATCCGATTCCACAATTCCCTGGTGTTAAAGAAAATACAAGTTCTGGATTTCCCAACATGTTGTTGGTGCTGACTGCAGTGTTGACTGTAGATGGAGTGAATTGCTGTGCTCTGCGTCCCTGTGCTCTGTCCTGAGTCCAGGCACCCTAGAAAAAGATGCGTGCGCACCAGTTGCTGGACATGACATTGGTTGGAGTGCAAAAGATGCAACAAAAGCACTTCTGCCATTCGGTAGGTCTTCAAAAGGCTTACTATTTATAAAGGATCCAGAGCTAGAGTGCGCTTTAGGGTTCAAGGGTTCAGGGTTTAGGGTTTAGGGCATGCTTGGGATGTTAGGCGGATGGCAAAGGCTTTCGAGCCCTCTGTCAGGATGCCTGAAGCCGGTATCGGATCGTTTGGAGTTTAGGGCCCTTCGGGTTTAGGGTTTCGGGTTTAGGGCCTTCGGGCTTCGACTCACACACTCGTAAATGCAGGCATGGCAATAAGCGTAGGGCCTTAGGGCTTAGGGTTTGGGATCATTTTTTGCCACCTGGCTTTAGGATCGTTGCTTTTCCCTCTCGCGTGGTTTAGGATCGTTTAGGGTTTAGGGTTTGGGAGCATACATCTAGCAGCTGCGGGTGTAGGCTCAGGGTATGGGCTTCGTCCTCCCAGCCACGGTGCTTCAACGAGCACCACACGAGACTCTCGGTGCCGGGTTTAGGGCTTAGAGGTTTAGGGGTTTTGGGTTTCGGGCAGCCTTGAACCCTACAGCCGAAGAAAGCCCGGAAGCGTGCTTTCTTTATTGAATTTCTATTGGTTTTCTATTGGTTTTTAATGGTTTTTATTGGTTTTCTACTGGTGTTTATTGCTGACTTGCATTCAACACCAAGCGGCCACCAAGCACATGGTACCAGTAGAATCCGTCTGCTCCTGGTCCGAGCAGCTCGGGCTTTGCTTCTTTCACTTGAAATTCGCGACTAGGCGGATAATATAGGGGCCTTACTAACTAGAATAAGATTTTGGGGTATAGTATACTATAATTACAATAAGGAACCCCCAAAATAAAATTGGTAATTATTTAGGCCCCTATACCAAGCTACCCTAGCGGCAGTGGTCGTGGCACCAGGCTTCTATTTGCAAAATGTCGCTAGCACAAAAAATACCCCTACACACACACACACACAGACACACACACACACACACACCCGCACACACATTGTAGGGGCCTTAATAATTAGAATAAGGTTTTGGGGGTTAACCTATTCTAATTATTCTGGCTCCTATATTACACACACACACTCACACACAACGGAAAAAAGCAGAGACACACACACACAACACCGCGCAATTCCAAGTAGCCAAGCGGTGCCTCAACTGTCACCCGACATCCGAGAACTGGAGCGTGTGACGAGACAGTAGAAGAGAGTGCCCTCCCAGAACCCTGGGTGCAGCCAACCCGGAACTCATCGTTTGGGTTTGGGCTTTCGGGTTTCGGGTACAGGGTTGGCTAGAAGCCCCAAGCCCGAAGCCCGGGTACGGCTACGAAGTCGTACTAGGTTCTGTCGTGTTGCTTCGAAGTCTTTTTTTTTCGCCTTAAGCTATCAATGACCGTGGCCCCCGCGCTACCAAATTGCAGCCGAACCAACACATGTCACAGAGATTTGCTTTGATACTTATAAAGGGAGGGCGCATGAATGTATTACCACCGTCACTACTACAGCTTGTGGATGAAGGTTCATAGTAAGTTACTTGCATAAACGAGTGCTAGCAGAGCTACCGTCACCTCTGTCGCGTTCTATATCATCGTCGTGTTTACTATGCTTGCGACGTTGAACATTCTTATTGCTGTCAGTCCGCATACCTTCTACTACTGCTGATGATGCAAATCCTGCATTACCTCAAGGACCCTATACGATGGGAATTGTGGCATATTCCTTGTTATGGAGTAATGCAAGATTTATATCACCAACCGTCCTAAAACCCTAAACCCTTTTTTGCAACGGCCTTGTCAGATCCTAAACCCTAAACCCTGAACTCTCAACCCTACACCCGAAACCCTAAACCCTCACCCGCAGCAACCCTAAGGAAGCCTCGAAGGACCCGAACGCCAAGCCCGAGGCTCTAAGCGCGTCCTCCCCAGCCCGACATGATCTTTGCATGAAAGAAGGGGTTTGGGGTTTAGGGTTTAAGGTTTAGGGTTTAGGGTTTCGGGTTCAGGGTGTAGGGGCCTAAATGATGACCTACATTATTTCTTAGGGTTCCTTATTATAACTATACTATTAAGGCCCCTACATTGAACCCAATAAGCTGAAGAACAAAAGCGCCCCGAACAAGCCAGCCACAAATCCTCAGAACAACTTCAAACCAGTCCAAAAGGCCAGAGCAACACTTCGAAACGGAATCAACAGCTAAATAGCTAAATCTGACAAATTGAACTGGAAAATCACCAAAGCCACGGCCGCCTCCACGCCAACGCTCGCCACCAGTCCCAGGTCGTCGGAGAGGACGCGGGAGAGGGAGCGCTCGCCTTCGGCTGGTGTTCTAGGAGCCCTTCCGTGGCGGCTTCTCATTGCGTTTCGGGGGCTTCTAAGGGCTTTTTAGGAAAGGTGTTGCGCTAGAGGATGTTGAGGTTTTTAGGATAGGGTTTATGGTTTAGGGTTTATGGTTTAGGGTTTTAGGGTTTAGGGTTTGAGGTTTAGGGTTTAGGGTTTAGTTTTAGAGCTCGGGGTTTTTTCTGGGCTGTTAGGGCCCAGCGCGATTTGGAGTTCCTAGGGCTATCAGGATTTAGGGTTTCGGGCTCTTTGGCTTTCAAAGGATCCTGCAAGAAAATATTGGGGATTTGCAGAGTGAAGTCGGCAGGGTTGTGCGTTTTTTTTCGGGTTTTGGGCCTTTTTGTTTTCTGGTTTGGGATTTTTTTATTTTTTGGGGCTTAGGGCTTAGGATTTGAGTGGTTGGTAGGGTAGCGTAGTGTCTTTCATGTGTTCGCCCTCAAGCTCAGGGTGTTAGGATGTTGCTTGCTATCGCAGGGTTTTGCAACTTCGGTCCTAGGCTTCAGATGAGCGGTTTGGGGTGGATGGCCCCTTGCTTCTTTACAGGAGGGCTTCATCAAGAGCTCGTCATTGAACAGTACTATGACGAGGCATCTTTCTCGTTTGGCTTGCGCCTACCATTCTTGTTGATATCGTTGTGACAGAGCGGCTACTCGTGATCCCCCAGGCATGATGAGTCCTTACCACACCGTCAACATCGGTAGCAGGTGGCAGGGAGCCCGTAGTCCGCAGTACGCAGTTCTTAGGACCTAGTACGTAGCACGTAGTACGTAGCAGCGGAAGCAGCAATAGCAGCAGTACGCACAGCCGTCGTCTGCTCACAATCATGCCCGCTTTTACAATCCACGAAGAGGCTGCGGATGATGCGCCACCTTGCGGAAGTCCGTGAACTCGTACCCTAGCACTGGCGGGACACGAGGAAGAAAGCCCAGTATCGACTTCACGATGGGATGCCGAACCTGCAACGCGGAGGCATGCTGAGCCGCCTGCACGAACTGGGCCAGTGCAACTAAGGAAGCCACCAGATCTGCCAGATCTCCCTCTCTGTCCGCCGGCTCACAGGGGAAGGCCCTTCCAGAGGCAAGCAAGGCAAGCAGGCGCACCGTCTCCCTCCGGCAGCCCCAGACCAATCCGGGAAGATCCACCGCGATGCGCTTCGGCCCCGGAGGCTTCGGATCATCCATCCGATAGTCGGCTCCATTCTCCAAAGCACGGGCCACCATGTCGACCCCGTCGGGGTGCCGTAAGGCACCCGCCCGTGCGAGGTCCTGGACAAAGGAGTGGAAGACACTGAGGCTGCCGACCTGGTAAATCCCCCACGGAGGCGTGTAATTCCTCTGCTCAGCTGAACCAAAAGGAGGGCTGCATGATTTCCTGGTTCTTACTTACTACAGGAGGAAGTCGAAAATCAAACCTCTATGGGGGCTTGCTCGAGTTTCCAATGAATAGCATCCCACCTAGCTCCCGTCTCCTCTGCCATCTTCAAAAACTCGTGAGAGATCGGCTGCCCGATGCGCTTCTCTTCGGCCAAACCGCAGAGCAGGGTTCGAAAGGCTCCCTGCGACTCCTCGTGGCCGTCCTCCGTCCGATTCTTCGAACCGTTCCAGAGGAGACCGGGCCGCGGATGATTCTGCAGTACTTTACCGGTGTAGGCAAGTGCAGCCTCCGGCGAGATGGTGGTCTTCCGCCTCGGGTTGCTCTGCAAAGCCAGACGGGTGATCTCCTCGAAAGGCGTGCCGTTCCACCCATCCAGGCAGGCCCAGTCGGCGCCATGCTCCATCGCGAGATCGATAAGGGCATCCCCTTTCGGCGTTCCCAAGATGCCATAGGAGACAAGATCAGATACCAGTTCGGAGAAGACGGTCCCGCCGCCCTCCAACAAGACTCCCATGAAATTCTTCTGCTCACACTCTGTCAGAGACCTTTCAAGAAGTTCCATGGAAGCTGGCTCGTCCAGAAGCTCGGCTTCCATGAGGAGAGGCACCATGGCCTGGAACGCATAGTCGCCACGAAAGACCACATGACCGTCCTGGCCCCAGGGCGCCCCGGTGGCGACGGCGAAGTCGACCAGCTCTCGACCCTGGGCCACGGCGCGGAGCTCGATGATGCCTTTCAGCAGCTGCCCGAAGGTGGGAACCGTCCAGCGAGCCCCGAACTCCGACACGGCCCTCCTGATCGCAGCCATGCCGGAAGGGCACTTGGCTTTCGTCAGGCCTTCCAAGAGGGCTGCAAAGGGAGTCGTGCTACGGAACTTAGTAATTTGTATTTCCTGGCTCAGGTCTGACTTCACCTCCAGGAACTTGGCGAGGTCCCCGTCCTCCTGAAGCTGCAACACTGCTCGAAGGACAGCGTCCTCCGGCCCCGGATTCGGAGGGGCATCGTGCGCCATTCCTCGTCCTCTCCCTCTCACGGCCATGCGCCCTACACCCTAAACCCTAAACCCTAAACCCTAAACCTCAAAAGCTCTGTGCTTAAGACTTGGCCTTCGAAACGGGCGTCGGGTGAACAAAAGGCAGCGTGCGGCCGGAGAGGGGGGGGGCCCCAAGGAGCCGATGAGAAGCTCCTGGCTTCCCAGAGACTCCAATATCCCTCAACTAAGGAGGAATATACCTTAAATCCTATTCAGGATCCTACTATAATTTGAGTTATATACCTTAATTAAGGGATCTTGGAGTCTCTGGCTTCCGCAGTCTACAGATTGCGAATTCCATGTGAGGGGTTGGTTGACCACTCGCAACTCGGGAGGACCAGTACGGCTCAAGTCTTTTTGGGTTGGGCTGCCGATTTTCTGCTTAGACACAAAGGAAGGAACTGAAAGTTGAGGCGTTTTCACGATGTCTTCCGGCGTTGTCACCGCAGGTCAGTCTATGAAACCGTCGGGGCACCGTCGCGTGGAATTCAATCCGTCACGCCCTCCGTCACGCCAAACCCCGTACTCACAGCCCCTTCCGCTTGGCAGCCCCATTTTCAGGAAGACGACCCAGAGAGCCCAATACCCCTTAAGTAAGCAGTATTCCCTAAATCATAATATTTAGGCCCTTATAATTTAAGGCCTTTTCCTTAAGTAAGGGGTATTGGGCTCTCTGGGGACCCAAAGCACAGATCTGAGTTTCAAAGGACGATTTTTGCCTTCAACACCAAACTCGAGGCCGCCTCCCCTGAGGCCTCAGCCCCCAGCCCTACTCAGAGAGACCCATACCCCTTAATTAAGCAATATAGCTTAAACTAAGGAATGTGCTTAAATTATAGGGACATTAATCTCATAGTTCAAGCTTTAAACTATCATACTAAGGCCCCTACAGTTTAAGCATATTCCTTCATTAAGGGGGATTGGGCTCTCTGGGTACCCCCAGCGCCCAAGGGGAAGCACCTCCATAGTTGATCAGGTAATGCAGGTAGGTCAGCGGTTGAGCACGATGCTCCCTGGATTCAGGGTTATAGGCTGCCAGGTTCCTTACCAGAGGCAAAGGGGTGCCGGACTCCATTGGGCATCCATTTTGGGGCATCAGGTTTCAGACGTAGCAGCAATGGTGGATCTGATACATGTATTTGGACTGATCCTCCTGCTCCTGCTACTGCTAAGGCTACTTACTAGTACTAGTTGTAGTATCCGGAAGAGCAGGCGGCGGACTACTACTACCACTTTAGTTAACTGCGACTACGACTACGACTACGACTACGACTGCTCCTACTACTACTGCTGCTACTACTTCTGCTACTGCTACAATTACATCCAAAGCCAAGCCAAACCAGACCAAAGCCAAACCAAGCTAAGCTATTTCAAGCGAGCACTCCATTCATCATTGTCTACTAGGACAACCCCATCTAATAGGAAAACTGTCTCTACGAGAACACCTTATGTAATAGAAAAACCCTATCTAATGGGCAAATCCTATCCAACACAACAACTGTGTCTAACAGCCAAACCTGTCTAATAGGAAAACCCCAACTACGGGGAAAAACCCATCTTATGGGAAAGCCCCACCCAACCTGCAAGTCCCATCTAATAGGAAAAACCCTTTGGAATAGAAAGCCCGGTCTCCTAGTAACAAATTCCTAGCTGATCGTAAACCCCTGTCTAATACTAAAACCACGTCTATCGGGAACGCCCTGGTTATCGGGGTGAAGACCGTGTTTCAAACTGGCAGCAGAGCAGTGTCCACGAACAAGCGCTGAAACGACTTTGGGAGGGGGCAAGAGAAGAGTGTGGGTCACAGGAGCATGCTGGCGCTTACTAGTACAAGCACTAGTACTATAGCACTCCGGGAATTTGGAACAATTGTCTCAATAAGTTTGCCAAAGCAATCTTGCCCCACTTGCCCCACTTGGGGGGGATGCAAGATTGCCAGCAAGCTTGGTTAATCTTGGCCCAGGAGGTAAGCTAGTCGACAAGCAAGCGGGGCAAGTGGGGCAAGATGACAAAGATTGC